TAAACCATATGGAAGTAGGAGACCATATGGAAGTTGATAAGCCACGTGGAAGTCAGTAAATTTTAAGAGTTGTGATATTCCGGTATAATAGATCATACGCTCGGGAAAAAAATATTCTCCGGTCGATATAACGTGAATGAATATTAGGTATAATAATTAGGATACACCGAATAACTGGAGCAATTTCATGATGCCTTTTTGTTTACTTTTTGAACTGAGACCATCATTCTATATTTATAAAATTTCAAAGGAACAAAGAAATAGTTTTTCCGATCGTGTATAATACTAGTAGAAACTTTAAATATACGGAACGTCGTAATTGTAATTCTTTATATTGTGTAAGACACTGAAAAAAATTCAATATACGCTGTCGAATTTGTAAAAAGTATGACTGAATCTAGATTTTTATTATTTAGTAAATTTTAATGAAAGGTGCGTCAAAGACGAAACATGCAATCCTTACGTGTTAATTTCTTTATCGTGTAAGTTCAACAGACTACATGATTTACTATTTCAGCATAAAAAAAAACTTGATGTGTTGAAAAGTAATAGGCTTACAGGTTTTTCACAAGGCTTATCATTCACAATAATATAAAAAAAGTCATACGTTATCAGACACAATTTCAAAATATTTGATACTGAAGTATGTTGAAATAATGAATACAGATAGAATTAGAATTTGACTATTAAGTCAATTGTGATACAGTGTATAACTGGTGGTCAGAGGTAACAAAGGAAAAATAAATAATACTTGCGTAATAAATAACTGTATTTAATCTAATTGTGTTGCAACAAAATGATCGTTAACCCATTGTTTAAGCTTTTAGAGAAAAATAGGGAATGGAAATGGTCGAGCCAATGTGAGGAAACAGTGGCCAAAAGTGAACTCGCGCCGTAGCATTGCAGTCAGCAATCTCTCTACTAATCTCTGTCAAGAGAGTAGTGCTTGTGAGTTAGTCACGGGCCTACGGGCGTATGTATACCATTTAATATGTAACAGTATCAATATACCTATTATATTTACTTACCATGGTTTATAATTACATCACCTAGTTTCCCCTGTATCCTAAATGTCTTATACATTACAAGTGGCGACGAGGATAAAAGCGAAATGAGAGCATAGCATGGACACGTGTCAAGTGTCCATCGGGAAATAAATATACGAATATCACTAGGTGAAGTATTCGCGTGCAGAAGGGAAAGAGCATGCCGGATACTAAGTGCAGGCAGTGCGGATTGGATATAGAGGACGTGAACCAAAAATTAGAAGATTTAAGGGCTTTGAGCGAACAGTCTTTGAAGGACAGTGTAACATTAGATAAGTACAAAGAGGAGCTGAGTAAGACAAAAAGTTTGTTGGAAAAAGAAATGGCGTCAAAAAGCTACGTTGGATCCATCGAAGCCTTTGGAGAAGACGATGAGTGGACGTTGTGGCAAGAGAGACTGGAACAGTATTTGTGGTGAATGATGTGATAAAAGAAAAGAAAATGCCTCTCTTGCTCACACTAATTGGGAAAAAAGGGTACGCTTTGTTGCGAAATTTGTCAATGCCATCGTTACCGTCTGAAAAATCACATAGTCAGTTAACAGAATTAATGAAAAAGCATCTGCAGCCGGCCCCCAGTGTGATAACGGAAAGGTATAAATTTAAAATTTGTGCACAGAAGGAGAGTGAGTCGCTGAACGAGTTTTGTTCAAGTTTGAAAAGACTAGCAATTCATTGTGATTTTGGGACAGAGTTAAATAATAATTTACGTGATCAGTTTGTGTGAGGAGTGCGGTGCGAATCAACGAAAAAGATGTTATTACGCGAAGAGAATTTGACATTCGATACAGCCATTAAAAAGGCTGTTGCCACGGAATTAGTCTCGCGTGACTCGGCCAATATGTTGCCATGAGTCGACCAAGCAGGCTCAGTCAACTTTGTAAAAGGTAAACAAGGGAGTTCTAAGAAGAGTCACAACAAACGGAACAAAAGGAACGACTATGAAGAAAGCAAGAAATCCCCAGGGGACAAAGAGTGTTATTGTTGTGGTTACTCAAACCATGTAGTGGCTCAGTGCAAGTTTGCGAGTTACGTGTGTAATATTTGTAAGCGTTGAGGCCATTTAGCGCGTGTTTGTAAAACAAAGGCCCAGGGTAATCGTAACATAGTAAACAGTGCTATTCGTGGATCGCAGAATTTCGTAGAAGAGAGTGTGTATGTATCTGAGAGTGAATCAGTAGAAAGCGATGAAAATTTTTTTTCGGTAGAAAGTAAAAGTCGAAAATTCTGTGAAAAGTGGAATCATAAAATTACGCTAGATCTGTTGATTGAAAATAAAGTAACGACCTTTGAAGTCGACACCGGATCGGCTATATCTGCGATCTATGAACAGCACTACAAAACAGTATATGCGAATCATATCAGATTAGGAAATACGCAAAGGCAATTCAAAAGTTGCGCAGGTGATACTATTGTTCCATTAGGTATTATAATAGTTAAGGTAGCATTTAAAGACTTACAAAATAAATTAGAATTATTTGTCATGCCAGGGAAGAATAATCCGATAATAGGTCGGGAATGGTTGCGTAAATTAAATATTATAAAAGGCGAAAAAGTTCATGATGCGATATTTATTAATAAGATAAGTGATTGTTCGTTTAGAATGGAGTTCCCTAAGGTGTTTTCTCCATCTTTAGGACTGTATAATAAGAAAAAATTCGCGTTAAAATTAAAAGAAAATGTAGTGCCTGTTTTTAAAAAACCCAGATCGGTGCCATACGCGTTACGAAAGTTAGTAGAAGAAGAGTTGGACAGGTTAGTCAAAGAAAAAGTAGTTTTTCCAGTTGAAAGAAGCGAGTGGGCAACTCCGATAGTGTCATTATTAAAAGAGGACGGCAAGGTTAGAATCTGCGGAGATTACAAAGTAACCCTAAATTCTCACTTAAAAATCGACCGTTATCCTATTCCTAGAGTGCGCGATTTACTAGCCACGTTAGACAGTCATAATGTGCAATCAAAATTAGATCTAAAGAATGCTTACCAACAAATAGAATTAGACGATTCGTCAAAAGCGATGACTACCATTTCAACTCACAAGGGGTTATTCAGGTTTAACAGGCTAGCATTTGGGGTGGCGTCGGCACCAGGTTGGTTCCAAAAGGAAATGGAGGAACTTTTAGGGGACGTGGAGGGAGTAAACGTTTTTTTTGATGACATAAGGGTAGGAGGAAGAAATCGGAAGGAGCATGACATGCGCTTAATAATAGTTTTAAGGAGGTTGCAAAAAGTAGGATTAACATTGAAGTTAGAGAAGTGTAAATTTAATCAGTCAAAGGTCAAGTTTTTAGGTCATGACATAGATAAGAATGGCATTCATGTAGTGAAAGAAAAGGTACAAGCTATCTCACACATGCCTAGACCACAAAACATTAAGGAATTTCAAATTTTTCTTGGTATGATGAATTATTACTCTAAATTTATTAAAAATTATAGTATGATCGTTAACCCATTGTTTAAGCTTTTAGAGAAAAATAGGGAATGGAAATGGTCGAGCCAATGTGAGGTAGCTTTTATGAGGGCTAAGGAAAGTTTAACGTCACATGAGGTATTAACCCACTACAATCCGGAGTACCCAATCAAGGTGACATGTGACGCATCTTCAACAGGAATTGGGGCAGTCTTATCCCATATACTGCCTGACAAATCAGTGAGGCCAGTGGCTTATGTGTCGCGGACGTTGTCAAAGGCGGAAAGAAACTATGCCCAATTAGATCGGGAGGCTCTGGCACTCGTGTATGGGGTTAAAGAATTTTATTCATATCTTTTTTGAATGAGATTTATATTAGAAACGGACCATGAACCGCTCTTTTTTATTTTTGGGGACAAGAAAGGATTGCCACAGATGTTGGCGAGTAGACTTCAAAGGTGGGCGATTTTTCTTTCCGGGTTTGACTACGTCATAGAACACGTAAAAGAAGAAAACAATGTCTCTGCAGATTGTTTATCTCGGCTAAATAACGAGAAACAAATGGAAGTAAAATTAAATAATAGTTCATATTTAAATTATGTTATGGATAAAATAAATTTTATTTCTGCAAATGATTTACAAAATGCGATTGAAACTAGCGCCGTGTTAAGCAATGTGCGTAAATATGTAAAATGGGGATGGCCAAATCAAGTTTCGAGCGAATTAACGAAGTTCAAAAACAAAGAATTAGAATTATCCATCGAAAACGACTGCCTACTGTGGGGTCACAGATTGATCATTCCAGAGATCCTCCGACCAGTTATCTTGTGGGAGCTTCATAGTGGGCATATGGGAGTGGTAAAAATGAAGGCCCTCGCTCGGTCATATGTGTGGTGGCCAGGACTAGATGGGGATGTGGAAAGGATCGCAAAGAGTTGCGAAGCCTGTTTAAAATACAATGATAGCCCTCCTCGATCAAGTCTCCACGTGTGCGATTGGCCTGACGTTCCGGGTATGCGGATACATGCTGATTTCTTAGGCCCCGTAGAAGGCAGAATGTACCTTGTCATTATAGACGCTCATTCCAAATGGGTCGATATCAAACCGATGAGAGATATTTCATCAAAATCGACCATCGAGGCATTTAAAGAATATTTTGCAGACTAGGGCCTGCCAATGAAGCTGGTCACAGATAATGGACCTTCATTTTGCTCATTTGAATTCACTCAATTCACGAAAAATAATGGCATAACCCCTGTGAGGACTCCTCCATACCATCCAGCTAGCAACGGGGCAGCGGAAAATGCGGTAAAAACCTTTAAAAAGAAATTTAAAACATATTTGGAAGAAGGATTGTCAAAAAAGGAAGCTCTTTCAAAATTTCTATTCCATAGTAGATGTACACCGCATATCACGATAGGGGTGTCACCAGCTGAGCTGCAAATGGACCGAAAATCGAGGTCACGTTAGGACTTATTAAAAATTGTGACAGGAAAGATAGTTCAAAAGCATCAAGAGGCGCAAAAAAGATTTTTTCATAGCAGCCGAAATCTGGAGTTTTAAGAAAACGAGCCCGTCATGACCAAAAATTATAGGGACAACAGCTGGGAAAAGGCTGAAGTAGTGGAGCGCCTAGGACCAGTATCTTACCAGGTAAAAACAGCGGGAGGAAATGTAGGAAAGAGACACGTCGATCAGTTGAAATCATGTAATAGAGAAGAAAAAATGAGTGTAAGTGCGAATAAAGAAGCGAGTAAAAGCGGAGACACTATAAATCCAACTTGTAAACCAGCGCATGTTGGTCAGGCCGAGACACCATTAGTAAGTAAGAACTGCGATAAAAATGATTCGGCGGAATTAAATGTAGAGTCGAATGTCATAAGTCGCTCAACTAGAATTCGTCAAGTACCAGAAAAGTTAAATTTATAATATATAGAGAAAAAAAGTATACTGAATATGTGCCTA